CTAGGTAGCATTTCAAGCTTAACATGTCCTAAATAATACTCTTAATGTTTTTCCCCTCAAGCCTGCTCATGATTACCTTCTTACTTTGATTAAATGTAGTTGAATGTTTTCACAATAAGATTTTTCCTGACTTCTTGAAAGAAAATTGCAAGACCTTCTGTCTGTGGCCCTTTCTGACCTCTTCTTCCTGTTCAAGATAATCTGGTACTGCTACTCACCCCTCATGTCACCTGGAGACCTCTGGGGCTAGGCAGGTTTTTCTCCCTTATAGATGCTCTTCCCTTGGTACTGAAATCTAGCATAGGACACTGGTGATTCAAGGGGAGAAGGTCCCTGAGCCATAAACATACTGTGTGGGCAGTCTTATCATGTTTTACTTTTCCTCATGGTATTTCCTCTTCCTAAAACAACTTCCCTCTTCCTTCACTCATTTTTACCTTTTCATTTCAACTCATAGGTTATCTCTTCAGGACATCCTTCCCTGGCCACTACCTCCCAGCCCAGTATGAATTGGAAGGCCCTACCCAATGTTCCACGATACCACACTATACTATAATTTGTTGATTACCTTGTTTCTGACTGTCTCTAGATGATGAACACTTTTAGAGGAGAAATGTAGGTCTCATCGAATATTTGTCCCTAACATGTGGCACAACAGCATATAGCAGATGCTCAACATCTTATAAATATGAGTGTTTGTATAACCTCTGTATACGCAATGCAGGGATAAGAACCACACTGTGTCCTGGGATCTAAGAGCAATTCACTCTAACATCCCATGTCTATAAAAACAGAGCTGTCCAAAGATTCAAAAGAAAGGGTATTTGGTGGGTGGGAGTGTGCATGGGGTACAAACATGCCTTGTGAGCATGTTTGTTCTGCACTAAGTCCAAGTTCAGTGTAAAATTCAGCCCTTTTCTCATGCTCACAGACATCCCTGTGAGTCGGGGGTGGGAGTGGGGTGTTAATGACATCATAGAGAGGTTACAGAAACCCACATGGTCTAATTCGATTGTTCTTCTCCGTCTACCTATGTCTCTCTGTAGCCATCTCTCCTTAAAGAAATCCAAACTCTTCTTCCTCCGTTATAAAAGATAGCATTCCGTTTCCTTAAAGTTAGAATGTTAGCTACCATCTCTTCAGGCTCTCACCTGGGGAAGCTGAGTGCGTCAGGAGTCAAACTTTTGCTTCCAGTGATGATCATTCCCTTTCTAAGAATTTTAACTCTAGCTTGTGGGATGTTAAAAAGATGGTATCTCTTATCTGAATGAATGAGTGAGTGAGTGAGTGAGTGAGTGACATGGCATTCATTCTCTTTGTGCTTTCTCCAGCCCTGCATCTATCTACATTGTATTATACAAATATATACATACATAGAGATACATTGTTCAGTGTATGTATAAGTGTGTATCCCCCCATACAAGAGCCAGGTTCTGTCAAGACACTAATATAATACTGCATGTGTACAAGTTTCTCACCCCTTATTTGGTGATATATTTGCCAAATACTCGCTAATTATCTTTTCTGTGCTATACATTGTAGTCCATGTGGAGATTTCATAGTAAGCAAAATACAGAGTTTCTCCCTTTACATGGCCTTATAAAAAAAGTATATACAAAACACTGCCACAAAACTGTACCTTTTCATCTGTGCCAACCTTTAATAAGAAAATAAAAACATTTTTAGTATTTTACTAATTTTATGATTTTCCTCCATCCATAGACGTCTCTGAATTGCTGCTAGCTAAAGTGAAATTGTGCAGCTTTTGTTTTAGCTTCTTGTTACGTTGGGTTTCATGTTGCTCTCTAATCATTTACCTCAAGACCAATACTATAAAAAAAAAAGTTGTATAGCTTATGCTTCTATTGTGATTTTGGTTTCTGATTTTTTTTATTTTAGTTTATTTTGACAAAAATGTATTTGGGGCCAGAAAACTAAAAGTGTACGCACTCTTTCTAATACACACACACACACACACACACACACACATACAGATTGCTTGATGTACAAAAAGCATGAGGAAGAAGACCATACTTCTGTTGCTAAGATGAGAGTGGAGATGTGGATGTCAGAGGAAAGACTAGCTCATGTGTCTGCAGTCAATTAAAATAACAAGAAGCAGTAATTACTGCAACCCAAACCCAGTAAGAAGGGTGCTGACCCCTTCCCCATAGTGTCTGAGGGGTAGGGGTGTCTCAGTCTGTTTTCTCCACTGACACATTCCCAGTGCTGGTCCAATGCATGGCACCTTGTAGCATTCAACAGATAATTGTTGAATCAATGTATTTATGAAATGAGTTCCTTTAAAACTAAACAAGCATTCTAGGCCCTATACAATCTGACTTCAATTTCTGTCTCTCACCTAAACCTATTGTGTTGCTATCCTGTAAAAAGCAAGGAATGATAGAACTGGCACAGAACCATGGAGCACTGGGGTTGGAATCCCTAATTAGGGGCTAGGTAAGCAGAGAGAAGAGAACTCCAAATTAGGAAAGCAGAGAGTTGGGATAAAAATGTACTCTGACTTTGCAAGGCCAAGTTCAATCCCTAGCATCACAAGAGAAAAATTAAATGCATTAGGACTTAACTGAGTCCTTGTAACATGCTCTGTGTTTTCTTAATAATTTACCATTTATGTATAAATAAGTGATTGAACACTTAAACGTGTTAAGTGATTGAACTGGTATTATATTTTGATTAATTATACCTGACTCTTACCTCTGTATCCTTCTAACTTACTCTTAAAGTTTCTCAGTAAACTTTATTCTTAGGGGTTAAAACAAAAAAATAGATTGCCACCTTTGCGACCTTAGGAACCTGACGTCTGAAGTCTCAACACAGGCAAGACTATGTCTTTCTTTCTACTAAAATGATTCATAAGTACTTAATCTTCCTGTGTGGATAATCTTAATTTAATTGGTGTCCATAATTTCGTTATGTATTGTTTTGATTATTTGTGCTCTCACGGGATTACTTATTAGCAGCTAGCATTAGAAACTTTTTAATAGTCAAGAAGTTTTACAGAGGGAAAATAAAGACAAGCAGGGTATCTTTGGCTTTTAACACGGGAAGTCCAGGCACAGCCTGCTTTTGAGGCAGGCAACCTTGGTGGTCTAGCAGTGTTGTAAGGTCTTCTGGTCGGACAATGAATGGCAGTCGTGGATCTGTCTGTGACCTCTCTCCTTTTTGCACTGCCAGTCTCCAGTGTCATCATTAATTAGTCTTAGGTCTCCCATCTGTCTGCTAGAAAGCATCTCAGATGAGCCAGGTTAATAAATTGGAGCGGGTGAGTTGCTGCCTGCTGCAGGGACAGAGGGCCTCCCTCCCTTTTGATCATGTGGGGAAGTTTCATCCTAACAGGCCACATAGGAGTCCCCACCCGGGGTGCAGAGAGGACCTCCAAGCACAACAGGAGTGCTGCTGTCATGTGTGCTCACCTTAGTTTCTAATTTCAAAACCATGGGGCTCAGAGGCCAGGCCTGGGGATTGTTACACATGTTGCTTCATCTTTCCCCAGGAGTTGACCTGCAGTCCTCAGTGAATTCTCACAAGGGGTGGTGGAGCAGCACCAAGGGAATGCAAATCATCATTTTGTGTTCTGAACAAGAGACAGGACCTGTAGCACATCACACCCAGCCGTGGCTAGCTTATTGTCCCAGCTGTAGCATCTTTCCCAATGAATTTCACTAAGTCATAAAAATAACAAATAGCATTTATGAGCTCGCTTTCTAGTGCAAGGCCTTCTGAAAACCACTTTATACAGTTTATCTCATTTACTTAGCATGTCATGCCTGCAGGTGGGGCCCTCATTTTGCAGATGAGAAAAAAAAGCCACAGCCTACCTGACCCCAGATAGGTCTTGATCCAAGCACAAACCTTTTACCACTCCATGATATGGCCTCATAAAACTTGAATCACTCGATGGGCACTCCACGGGCTCCATTACATCCAGGACACAGGGAAAGCTGCAATGATCAATCTTCTAAATTCAGGCAAAAGTGGGACAACATAGAGAAACCTGAGGAGATGCCTCTTGCCCAGGCCAACTGCCTTTTGTGATGGTGAACTCTAGGGTTATTGTGATTTCAATGAGGACAGTCCATTTGAGGCAGCATGATTATCCAAACAGCAATGTAATGCATTCCAGGTAGCCTGTCTGAAGCAAACTTATACCTTAGTAAAGTTTTAATAGGAAAAGTAGGTGAATGGGAACCATGAAGAGAACACACAATCATTCCCAACCTGGTGAAGCCAGCAGGCTGGGATGTATCTGTCACCCTGAGGAACTCTAATGTGGTACTTCCAGGCAACTTGGAGGCCTGGGAATTTCTGTAGAATCTTCATCAGTCTCTGTCTTGGGAGTGTGTCTCTGAAGAGGATTGGGTCCCTTAATTCCCTGGGACTAGTCATTAAGTAATTTTTCCTCTGTTTATTTGGGGGAACCAAAAAGCAGAATACTTTGTCTACCAAGTCAGAGATTCTTCTGGATCTCCAGAAGGAAAATTGAAGGGAGTATAATTTCCTGTTCCTAAAGACATATAGAATGAGCTAATTCTCTTCCCCCGTAGAGTATGGATAAACAGTGATTGACAAGAAGTCTGCATAAATGATCAGCAAGTATGCTGTTTTTGTAGGGGGGAGGGGAGGTGAAGATGGGATGGGGTTTGAACTCAGGGGTTCATGCTTACAGGGTAGACCCAGTACTGCTTGAACCACATCTCCAGCTGCTTTTGCTCTGGTTACTTTTTACATAGGGTCTCACCTTTTTGCCCAAGCTGATCTGGATCACCATCCTCCTGTTTTCTGCTTCCCACCATTGCTGGGATGGTATGTGCACAGCACAATGCCCAGCTTTTTTTCAGTTGAGAAGTTTTTTGCCCTGGCTGGCCGGGAACCGGCATCCTTTCAATCTCAGTCTCCCAAGAAGGCAGGTGTGAGCCTTGGGTATCTGGCTAGCAGGCGTGCTCTTGAGTAAGTCTAACAGATACTTCTCTTTGCAGCAAGTGAGCAGCAGATGAAGGTGGTGTGCAAAGAGTCACCAGAGGAGTACCTCCAACCCTTCAAGGACAAGCTAGAGGAGTTCTTCGAGAAAGGTAGGGGGTTGTCACCTACCCTTCATGACACTTGGGGATGCCCCTCATGTCAGTGCTGTCTCTGGGGGCCACTGCTCCTTGCACCTTGACTGAGTACAGGTGGTGAGTGATTCCAGTCCATCTTCCCATGGTGTTCACATCCTCAGTGTAAGTAGAGCTGTGCTGTATCTTCTACATCACCTTTCTAGGCTGTTTTAGTACTTTAAATCCTGTAACGTTACTCACGTCTTTGTACATTTTTTGAGGGTAAACCTTTCTGTCTCTTCCTGGAGCTTGAGGGATCCTCAGTACATGTTAACTGATAGCAGACAGACTGTGCATTTGTAATCAGCCCAGATAGGTGGATGGTGATTCTTTTCCTGGTTTTATGAGTGTAGTGACTTGGAAACTTGTATTTTCCATTCCTTTTCAGACAGGAAAATTGGGGCCCAATGAATGTCACACATCCCATGACTTGGCATTCATTGACCCTCTGGGGTTAGTAGGTGGATGGAAGTGATAGACAGGAGACTCACTTCTTACTCAGAAGCCTCAGCAAGTTCTGTTCCCTCCTCAAGGGCTTTGGAAGATTAGGGATCCTTTTTTCATCGGTGTTAGTGAACATGAAAGTTTAATGCCTTTTAGTTTGCTTCCTATTTTGTTTTCTCAAGTTCAGTTGCAAATGTGAGAGAAAAATGTGTTGGGTATTTGGAGGGAGCTTTTTTCTTTACTAGAAAGCCAGAGGAAATGCATGTAACCACCTTTGGGGATATCTCAGCATCCTGTTTCTATTATTGAATAAGGCTACAGGATACCACACCATCAACACAAGACTGTTAAGTGGAGTGAATCCACAAAATATGGCCAAACCACTTTGGGAATGAGCAGAGGAATTCTCAGCCCATGAGTCAGAGGAGCTCCATTCCAGCTGCTCCCTTTGTGCATAGATCCCTGCTTCTTCTTCCATGACCAGGGTTTGTTTGCATTGATGCAGAGGTCAGAGGTGGCCATCGCTCTGCCTCATGTATTATGGGAATAATGATATCCAACTCAGTACCATCCTGAGAGCAAACAGTGATACCAACATTGCGTGCTATGTGACTATAATTAGGGAGGTGTTATATGTGACTTATTTAAGTAAATGCTTTGCTTCATAATGATACCATACAAATATAACCTAAATGGGCTGAAGAAAAGCTTGGTATACTTCTCTTTGTGAATCCCAATTCATAGTGTCTGCTTTTGACGTGTGTAGAATTAACTTGAAGCTCCTGTGAATCTTGATTCCATTTTTATTTTTAATTGCTATTATTCCATATCTGGAAAATTCTGCAATGTGTACGTTGGAGTTTTATCTACCTACATGGTATAATGGCCATAGAGACCTTCCTCTTCAAGCCAGCTAGCATATTGCCCACTTATATTGTGAATTTTATTCTTTTTTGAAAAAGAGAGAAATCTGAATAGGTTAGAACTTCAAAAATCTTCTTTGATACTTTGGAAAAGGAACTTGCATCTACTAAGTTCCTCAAGAAACTTCTGGCCAGGGAAGCAATGGCTATTCCAAGAAAGGCCCAGAAGAGTGGTTCCTGACCGTTTGAATCACTGAGGGGAGAAGTAAAAACATTTCTGCACTCAGAACAAACTTTAGAGCCACTGCCAACATCTCTCAGGGGGGAGTCAGGCACCAGAATATATCTTATTCTTCATGTGACTCCATGTGGATCCCAAACTGAGAGCCACTGCTGTCAACCTTAGTTCACTTTTCCATGTATATTCAGTGATATATAGTCAGAGCCTGCAACACGTAAGATACTGGGAATGCTAAGATGAATTACATTCCTTGAGTCCATCCCCAGGACTGTCTTACTGGGCATAGATCTCTATGTAATCAATGGAGGGAAGGGATGGTGAAAAGGACACTGGGAATGACATCAAGTCAGGCTTAAGACAAACATCAACCAAAACAAGACACAAAAAGAATTTAAAGGGAACCTTACAATTCTATTTAAAAAACTTAAGAATATTGTAGGAGTCTTAAGTGTTCTCAAAATTATGGAGTGAATTCCACTGTGAAAATAGTCTGTTAACATTATCTTATTTCTTAGTTTGTGAAAAACCAGTCTGAAATTGTACTGTCTGATCTGGCACACACCGGCCACATGTTCATGTTAAGCAACTGACTGTGGCTCACCCAAATGTTAGATTTATAGAAGCCATGGAAATGCTTCATTCCAGGTCTTTATATTGATTGCACAGAACAGCAATAACATTTGCAACATATTATGTTAAACAAATGAAAAAATAATAAAATTTTTTAAAAAGTCATAAAAAAACAAATGAAATGTATTACTAATATTAATATACATTTATTTTACTTTTTAATGTGAAGCTACTAGAAAATTTACAATTCTATTTGTGTCTTACACTATATTTCTGTTGGAGAACTGTAGTCAAGAGCTATGGTCCCCAGCCTTTCCTAGTCTCATTCCTTGGCTCTCCTCTTGGAGCTATGGCTCTACTTTCTCAGCTTCATCATCACAGTGTGTGGAATTCTACAGGCTAGCCCTGGGCCCGTTTCACCCTGAGTCTGACCATTGCTTGGCATTCAGGTAGGACTGTTTAGGAGATAGCAAGCCACTATATCAGGTGATCACTCTCCAGTTCAGGGTGTATGGTTAGAGTCTGTGGCTAAGAAATACATGACTCCTAACAGCAGTATAATAGGGTTAGGCTGTGCTTGCCAAGTTGGCATATATACAAATGGAATATCTCCTGGTTACTAATTGGAGTTTAAAATAGCAGTTCCTTTTTTTATATAGATGTTTCACTAATTCATTGCAAATTTAGAGTCCTCCACCTACCACAAACCTGCATTATTCACCCTGGATAATCAAATTTTTATGGCAATTGTCATACAATTTAAGTGTAATATTTTACCTAATCCCCATTCATTGTAAAAAAAAAAAAAAAACACCATTATTACATGTACTACTAAGGAGAAAAGATTGCTGCCAACCAAACCATGTCATGTAGATTATAAGATATACCCCCAAAAAAAGGATAAAATTTGGAAATTCCATCAATTTTGGAGTTCATACAACTTGACACTATAATTAGACATATAGTATTGGAATGTAGGGCTTCCCAGCACTCCAGGATAAGCTGAGGAAGACTTTAAACAATGACAGAAAATATTTTTATTAAGACTTGAGAAAAGATCAGAGGTGCTGCCGAAGAAGATGACAATGACTAAACACTGAGTGGTTCAGTATGCTGGATCCTATGGGTGAGCAGGCCACCTGTTTGCTTAGTCCTTCAACCATCCAGCCTGCTGTCACCATGTTATGCAGAGAAGGAATTCTCACAGACAGGAAGGGTATTCCAAGCAAAGAGAAACTTCACATCTCAAAGGATGAAAGACATGATGTGTTCAGGGAATGGTGAGGGACTTGGTCTGGCCAGACAACAGGGCTTATGGGAAGAATCTAAGACCAAAAAGGAGAGAAGAATCACAGTAGGACTTGCAAAGGTGTCTGAACTGTGTATTATATAATACTGAAATAATAAATATTGAAAAACACTGTGTACAGGAGTGGCAAGTTCATGCTGGACTTGTTTGTTTTGTTTTGGTGTGGGGGGGCATTGGGAAGCATCACTTTGCCTTTTGTTAAGAAATGTATTATAAGTAACAGCAATATAAAGAGAATTGGAAGAGCAAGAGACTAGCAAAGAGCTTGAGCAAAAGCAATGGTGGTAAAATCAGAAAGGAAGCAACATATATATAAATAGTAACCAGCTATGTTAGTTGGGTTGCAAGTATAAAGTGAAACAGGGGAAAAAGATAACTCTCCCTTTTTTGCTTGGATAACTGGATGGATATTAATGGGGAAGAGTCAATTTGGGTTGGAAGATACCAAGGTAAACTTCAGGAATGTTAATGTCGACATACACTTGAGACACATAGGTAGAAAAGTGGGGCTCGCAGGGGAGTGCTGAATGAGACTTTAGATGTAGCAGTTTAAGTCAAGGGAATGAATGTGACAGTCCAAAGAAAGGATGCAGAGCAAAAAGGATTCTGAAGTATCAGAGCATTGGAGCAGAAGGTATCTTATGAGAACCATGACTGAGAACTCAAGATGCTTCTGTAGTAGAGCCTATACAGAATATGTGCCCAGAAAGCAAGTTTTCTGTTAGGGTCTTCTCACTCCTGATGTCTTAAGTGATTATATTCTTTATGCCAGAGAAGTCACATGCATTGTGACTTAGTTGATTCATGATTGGGATTATTTTTACATGAGCTTCAATTCAGTTTTGCCAACAACCATGATTCAATTTTTCATTTGTAAATCAAATCCTGTTGCCACACTCAAGTGGAGATGCTGTGTTTGTCCTTCCTGTTACCATCCTTCACTTCTCAGAATGCCCTTAAATAGTGTTGACAAAACCATTTTACTTGTTCTTAACTAATTCTCATTTCCTGTGCTGAGTTGAAAGTAACATAAATGGCACCACTTTTCAGGTGTGCAGTCTCCAAGCTATCTAAACCCTTCTCCTTACGTGTTTCCTTCTTTTCCGCCACACCGGGCTCTTGCTGACTCCACTTTGCAGCTCTGTTCTGAGTAATCTTGTGCAAGCATTTGGTTTTTTCCCACCCTTAGATCAAACATGGTCATAATGATACAGCCTTCAAAAAATGTGATGCTCACATTAAAAATCCCCATAAACATGGCAGGGATCCTGTAATTGAAAGAAGGCGCAGAGCAACTGATTAGATCCCAGGTATAGATCATGTAGGTGGTCTTTTCATGCTGTTAAATTGGTCATTTGTATTTATAGTGTTGGCGGCGGGGAGGGGGGACTGGAACCTAAACTGGCTCTATTACTAGCACTCTCACACTTGGCCTTATCTCGTTTTCAGTTCACTTTACTTGGTATCCATGCATGGCACCAAATTCAAAATAAGTATGAGTGAACCATTCTGGTCCTACAGCCTTAAGGTTGTTTGACTACCTTACATT